TATCATCATCATCATCATCATCATCATCATCATCATCATCACCTGCATCATCATCATCATCATCATCATCATCATCGTCATCATCATCAGCATCATCATCACCTTCATCATCATCATCGTCGCCATCGGCATCGTCGTCGTCATCATTATCGTCATCATCATCAGCGGCATCATCATCATGAGCATCGCCATCAGCAGCGTCATCATCATCGTCATCATGGTCATCGCCATCGTCATGATGAGCATCATCATCATCATCATCATCATGATCATCATCTTAGGTATCGTCATAGTCATCATCAGCATCGTCATCATCGTCATCATCATCATCATCGTCATCATCGTCATCAGCATCATCATCATCTTCCTTATTGTGATCATCATTGTCAGCATCGCTACCATCATCATCATCATCATCTTCAGCACAATCATCATCATTATCAGCAGCAGCATCATCATGAGTATCACCACCATCATCACAATCATCATTATCAGCAGCATCAGCAGCAACATCAGAATCAGCATCATCACCAGCATCATCGTCATCAGCATCAGCATCATCATCAGCATCATCATCGTCATCATCATCAGCATCATCATCGTCATCATCATCAGCATCATCAGCAGCAGCATCAGCATGATCATTGTCATCAGCATCTTCATCATCATCGTCATCATCCGCAGCAGCAGCAGCATCATCACAATGGTCATCAAAGTCACCATCATCATCAGCATCATCGGCATACTCATCATCATCATCATCATCATCATCATCAGCAGCAGCAGCAGCAGCGGCATCATAATGTTCATCAGCATCATCATCATCAGCAGCAGCATCAGCAGCATTAGCATCCGCATCAGCATCAGCATCAGCGTTATCATCATCATCAGCAGCAGCATCATCATCAGCATCATCAGAAGCATCATGGTCATCATCATCATCATCATCAACATGAGCATCATCACCATAATCACCAGCATCATCATCATCGTCATCATCAACAACATCACCAACGCCGTCGCAGCACAAAAAAACCGTCATCGGCATCATCACAAGCATCGCCATCATCATCATCATCATCGTCATCAGCAGCAGCATCACAATTATCACCATCGTCGTTATCATCATCATCATCATCATCATCATCATCATCATCATCACCTTCATCATCATCATCATCATCATCGTCATCATCATCAGCAGCATCATCACCTTCATCATCATCATCATCGTCGCCATCGGCATCGTCGTCGTCATCATTATCGTCATCATAATCAGCAGCATCATCATCATGAGCATCGCCATCATCATCGTCATCATCGTCGTCATCATGGACATCGCCATCGTCATGATCATCATCATCATCATCATCATAATCCTCATCATCATCATCATCATCATCATCATCATCATCATCATCATCATCGTCATCATCATCATCATCATCATGACCATCATCATCATCATCATCATCATCATCATCATCATCATCATCATCATATCATCGTCATCGTCATCATCAGCATCGTCATCATCGTCATCATCATCATCATCATCGTCATCATCGTCATCAGCAGCAGCATCATCTTCCTTGTTGTGATCATCATTGTCAGCATCGCCACCATCATCATCATCATCAGCACCATCATCATCATTATCATCATCACTATCACCACCATCGTCACAATCATAATCATCAGCAGCATCAGCAGCAACATCAGAATCAGCATCATCACCAGCATCATCATCATCAGCATCATCATAATCATAATAATCATCATCATCATCGTCATCATCATCATCATCATCATCATCATCATCATCATCATCATCGTCATCAGCATCATCATCATCATCATCATCGGAATCAGAAGCATGCGAATATCGCCCAGGGGCCCGACTTCCTCTGAAACACTGCCCTGGACCCCCGCACGCTACGGCTCTGGGCGGCTCGTTGAGCCAACTCCAGCCGTGGAGCCGAAGGGGGGGGCAGCCAGAGGGGGTCCGCGGACCGCGGCCAGAGAGGACGACAAAGGCTGAAGGCTGAAGGCGCGAGAACAAGCAGCCCCTCCAGAACCTGCAGCTCTCCTCGCATTCCCTGCACATCTTCGCTGGCCTCCTCTCGTCCATCCGTAATTACGTCATGCAGGCAGGCGTCCTCTCGCCCGCGTCTTCGCCAGCGTCTTCGCATCGTCCACAGTTCCCTCGCTCGCTTCGGGGGCGTCCAGGAAGAGGCTTCGCAAACCATAGCCCGGGGCGTGTGCGCGGCCCAGGGTGGGGGGCCAATGGACGTGTTGCAACAGGAAGAGGGGGCCACGAAGCCTGGGGAGATTTCGTGGGCCCGGCCACGACATCAACGCCCCCTCCCCACGGTGCTCACCCCCGCCTCGGACGCCCTCGCCTGGCCCATTCCTTTCTCGCTTCGGCGGCGACAATCGGGGCGAATAGCCCAGGGGCGGGCATGACACGCATTCACCCGGGAGCCTTTTCGAAGACATGGATCATCGGCGCACCTGCATACCTGTGTTGCTCTCCCCTGGGCCATTCGCCCCCATCGTCGCCGCTGCCTCGCCCGCCTCCCATTGGCGGTGGACAAACCTCCCTTTAGTAAACCTCCCCTCAGTGAAAACGACCTGGCACCGAAACCGACGGACCTGGACCCGCAAAAAGGACGGCCGCGACGCCCTCCCACGGACCGAAAACGGCCAATTCCTTAATCGACGTGTCAGGGCAGGAGGCCAGTCCACCTCCGAGAGGAGGAGGAGGAGGAGGAGGAGGAGGAGGAGGAGGAGGAGGAGAACGAGGAGGAGGAGGAGAATGAAGAGGAGGAGGAGGAGGAGGAGAAGGAGGAGGTGGAGAGGGAGGAGAACGAGGAGGAGGGAGGAGGAGGAGGAGAACGAGGAGGACGAGGGAGGAGGAGGAGGAGGAGGAGGAGAACGAGGAGACGAGGGAGGAGAAGGAAGAGGAGGAGGAGGAGGAGCAGGAGGAGGTCCATCCACCTCCGATCCCACACGCCGCCCTCCCGGCGGGCGCCGGCCGGGCCTGGCCCCGCGGGCATCTGCGACCACTGCGGCGTCGCCTCCCGGCCGCCCCGCGCGGGGGGCGCACGCCCGCCCCTCTCGCACGCAGGGGCGCGCGGGGGGCGCCCGCCCGACTGGCCCCGCGGCGGCACACGGCCGGCGCGCGGCACGGAGGCGCGGTGCTTGCGAGTCCCCAATCTTTACGAGCAAGAAGAGGAGGAATATTGATATGAAGAAGGAGGAGAAGAAGTCGGGGGAAGAAGAAGAAGGAGGAGGAGGAGGAGGAGGAGGAGAAGAAGTCGGGGGAAGAAGAAGAAGAAGAAGAAGAAGAAAAAAAAGAAACAGAAGAAGAAGATAAAGAAGAAGAAGAAGAAGAAGAAGTCTTGGGGACGGGAGCGTCGGCGGCGCGACCGGGGGGGAAGCGAGAGGGTTCAGCGGCAACTCGTGGGAGCCTTCCATACAGTCAGCCCGCATCATAAGAAGGAGGAACGGCAAGGGTGCAGGGGCCTCGGACGCCCAGGTGAGCGTTCTTCGAGCGAGGTGGGCCAGCGAAAGTGGCCAAGGATGGAGCAAGGAGGCAAGGATGCAAGGGTACCCTTGGGAAGGTTGCCCATCCTGACTATACAGGCTGACTGTACCATCCTGTTGGCTCTTGCGAATCGATGCCAGTCGACGCTGCGTCGACGCCAATCGACGCTAAATCTACGCGGATCGACGCGACCTCGACGGCAATCGACGCCAACCGACGCTGAATCCGCGCTATCTCATCGACTCCCAGACGCTGGTCGACGCCAAAGATGGAAGTAAGAGGGTATGCCAGGCCCCCATGATCTGCTACCAAAAGAGGGGGCGGGCCTTCTCAGAAGGCTCGGAAGGCATCCCGCCTTCTGAGAAGTTCTTCAAGCCCTCCCCGAAGGCACAGGGAGCTTCTCAGGAGGCCGGAGGGCTTCTGAGAAGCCCCCCGCCGCCTTGTGAGAAGGCCTCCTCCTTCTCACTTCCCCCCCCTCGCTCGCCGCCAAAAGAGAGCACAACACAGATTTCGGAGCGCCCCCTGGCGCGGACCCACCACGCGCCTCCTCCCTCTTGTGCGCAGCACTCTGCAGCCAGGATCCCAGCAGAAACAGCCGCGCGCGCCCTCCCAACCGTGCCGCGGCAAAGGCCCCGCAACGGGCCGAAACGCGTTCAGGGAGGACCCCGAGAGGGGGCCCCAGAACACCGGAGTGCCTTTGGCTGGCGTGGCATGCCCGTCGGGCATGGAAGCTCCTGAACATTCACACGTGTCGATCTGCCGCCAGGGAAGCTACAGCTACCAGGTACTCTCACGACTGTGCGCTGTACTGCGGTGCTCGCACTGATCTGTCCCCCGCGCACGCCACCGGAGCTGCCCAACACCACTGCCCTGCCCGTCGTCGTCGCCGCCGTCGCCGCCCGTTGGTGCCGTCGTCGGGAGAACGGGAGGAGGAGGAGGAGGAGGAGGCGGAGGAGGAGGAGGGGAAGGAGGAGGAGGGGAAGGAGGAGGAGGAGGAGGAGGAGGAGGAGGAGGAGGAGGGGAAGAGGAGGAAGAGAAGGAGGAGGAGGAGGAAAAGGAGGAGGAGGAGGAGGAGGAGCAGGATGGCGGAGGGCGGAGGGTGGAGGACGGAGGGCGGATGGCAGAGAGCGGAGGGCGGAGCAGGAGGAGGAGCAGAGACGGGGAGAAAGACTCGCCAGGCCGCGCCCTCGCTCCCCCCGAGGCGGCGCCTGGGAGCTCGTCTTGGGCTGCGGCTGGTACGGCCTGCCGCTCGCGCCGCTCTGCCCGTTGCTCCCCCCCTCGCCCAGGACGGCTGACGGCGCGGTGCCTCCGGGTCGCCGGCCCCCGGGCCTCCGCCGGGATCCACCAAAAGGGGGGGGCCCTGAGGTTAAGTCGGGCCTGTCCCCCCCGCCCTACAGGGGGATTTTGCACGAGAGATTTAAAAATACCCAAAAGTATTCAAATCTAGTCAGAAATAGTCAGAAAATACTCCAAAAATCCTCCCTGCCTATTTTTTTGACTATTGTTGAACATTCCTCCTGTAGAGGGACAGGCCCGACTTAACCCTGAGGGGGGGGCAAGAGCTCGACCCGCTGCTGCGCCGACGCTGCCGCAGACGGGTGCCCCCCGCGCGCTCCACCCATCGGCAGCCGTCGGGAGCTGCCGGCGGCTGGAGGGCATCTGCTTTGCGCGGTTCGGTGCAAGAACCGATCGAACTCTCTCGCACACACACACACACACACACACACACACACACGCACACGCACACGCACACGCACACGCACGCGCACGCGCACGCACACGCACACACACACACACACACACACACACACACCGGGGCACACACACCCTTTGCGGGATCCCGACCCAGGGCCCAGGACAGCCACCAGACACCGAAAACCGAAAATGGCCACAGAAGCAGATCTGGCGCGGTGTTTGTCCGGAGTCGCCGAGGTCTGGGCAGAGCACGCTGGGTCGTTCCCTGCTCGCCGAGGAGGCCAGGGACGGGATTTGCCAAGGGGGGCCAGGTCTCTGATCACACGATCTTCCAAGCTGCCACTCCCTTAGATCAGGCTCGATAAAAATGGAGCTTCCAACGGTGAGCTCAAAGTTGGGCCAAAGTGATTCGTCGAAACAGCTTCACATAGCGCAGTCAGCTACCGTGCCCCTTCAGCCTTCCCCAGTCCTGCTCTCACACACTGTACACGAACACCTGCCAAGAGGGTCTCGCCTCGCTTACGCCTGGGTACTTCGCCGCCTACTGCCAGTGTAATCGGTACCCGATCAGTGAGGCTACCATCGCCGATCCGCGTGATGGAAAGCACTGACAAGCAGAAAGCACAGAGCTGAGATGAGTACTGAGGGTGCAGGGGACGAGGGGAAATTGTGTATGTATACTCTTCCCACGTCTGGCTCACTACCACTCACGCTGCCCTAAGCGCACTGTGCCAATCGTCCTGCCCCACCGCATACCCCACGTCGCTCCTACATACCCTCCACCACGACACTGCAACAGAGGAAGCGAGGGTCGGACTGGATGTTCTTCGGTACGCGAGGGTCGTTCTGCTGCGCGACGAGTCCTTCTTGGCACGCGCCAGGACGCCGAGAAGCGGAGTAACAGCTAAACAAAAAAGACAACACCTGGTGGTAGGCGAAGGCGAGGGACGGGAAGGGAGCGGAGGGGAAAGCGGAAGGGATGTTATCGATGATCCCCCTGTAGTCGTGGGAACGCAAGCAGAACATGAGCACAGGCACACCCATCTCGGGCTCGGCGCTGACAAGCCTGGCAGTCGGGCGGCTCGAGGCACGACTGGCCAACAGCTTCGCACATGCAGGCTGCAATCCCTGAGGCACTTCTCCCAGCGCAGCCCGAGGGCAAGTCAATCAGCGAGCTTTTCGGTTAGACTGACCGCTTCTGCCGGGTCAGCACGGCGTTGTACGCTGCGCACCAAGGCCAACGAATCAACCCTAGCAACTGGCACATAGGCCCACAACTGTGAGGAGATACCAACTTGCCGACCTCTGCGGCCAAATCATGCGGACAAACCCACCGGCCAACTGCTGCGGCGCAACGCGCGGCGAAGCCCCACCCGTCACTGGCCCGTGCGCATATCCGAGAGTAGCAGCAAGGCTCTTCGGGCGACCTCTGTCACCAAATAGCTGCTGACATAAGCCTCCAACGTCTCGACAGGCACGTCTGGCTCTCCCAGGACGCGCCGGCTACGCGCCTCCGCACTCGCAGCGCCAGGAGCCTCCACGAAGAGCAGGGCTTGATGCTCTGCCTGATCCTCCGCCGATGTATATCGCTCGTACAGCTCAGCCGCTGTCACTCTGAGTCGAAGCAGACAGGCGAACTCGTACTTGTCGCCTTGCTCCTCTCCGCAGCTCACGATGCCAAGAAGCTGCGACTCCTCCACCACGTCCCACCCTAAATCCAGCTCCTCCTTCAGCTCTTTCTGTATGACTTTCTGCGCGTCAGGCTCGTCCAACTGCCCGGCTGGTACGCAGTGCCAATAGTTCGGCATCGCGCCCAGCTTTGAGGAGCGCTGACCGAACACGATCAGCCCGTCGGACGTCTCTGTCAGTGCCATTATCCCAACGGCGCCCGAGCGCGCCGAGGGTTGCAGCTGGAGGCCCTCAGGGGAGTTGTGCGTGTAGAGGATGTATTTGTAGCTGGAACGCTGCAGCGAGAGCTGCAGTGCAGGATCCGCTTCGTGTGGACACGGCTCCCAGGATGCGAGGCACCACACCGGCCCGTCGAAGAGCTTGGGCTTCAGCTGGAGCTGCGCTTCCCAGTACGCCTCTGCACCTGCGGTGACCTCCGCAGAGTACGCCTTCGTCCCCTCCAAGACGCTCACCCGCAGACGCTCCAGCCGGAAAGGCCCGCGCTGGCACACGCCAGGCACCGGGCAGCCCAGCACTGCCGCGTCGGGCGCACGCGCCGCAGCCGCGCTGCTCGCGTCCGCCGACATCACTCACGCGGGTCCATCCCAAGGCCACAGAACGGCTGCAACCGGCCTCGAGCCAGACTCTACAGAGAAGCAAACGATGCGAGGCCTGCAGTCAAAACACTGTCCGAACAGCCCAAGGAATCAGACCAGCGGTCTGTGAGGCTCTTGGAGCTCCGTAGAAAATGGCTCCATGTGCTGTGCATTGGCGTCCACGGCGAGTACGCGCCCTGCGCAGAGAGCCTCCACACTCGCTTACTTCAGTGCTTTGTTCGATCGAACTGGCGTTCGGGACTATGAGAGAGAGCCTCTTGTCTCGAGACCAGACGGATTCCACCGAATGAGAAAAAAAACTGGACTGCACCTGGCGCGTGACACCTACATTGGCATATAACTCGTCCGACAGTGCCACTCATGTTCGGCGAGAGTATCGTGAAATGAAGCACTCGAGCGACAACACCAACCTCTGGAGTAGACGAGCACCCACCAGGCAACGGATCGCTCAGAAGAGATAGGGTCAGTGCTACACCTAGGCAGAGGCATCTATTTAAAAAAACTGAAGCAACCTGGGGAATCTGTCACACGTTTACATGTCCACGCATGCGCCCGCATGTTCGAACCTCATACTGAGCAGGCCGGGGGCATCCGCCAAGGAGAACTGATCACACCATCGAGAGGTAGACAAGGGGACAAATCCGCCACCGTGCCACAATCGCGTCGGGGCCTGATGGACCACGTGTTGGCTGTCTGGCAGGGCCTCTGTAGCTTTCCAGGGCCGACCCCCGCCCTCGCAGCGACCAGCCTCAGAGTATCGTCCCCCCCTGGACGTGCTCCCCAACGATTGTGTCCGCCCCTGTACGCCTCCAAATGTCACCCACAGACCGCTTCAAAGACGCCCCAAGACAAGCTCACAAAGGCTGCAAGATTCCCAAACATGCCCCAAGAGGCCGCAAGAGGCCTCCAGGAGACGCCCAGGCATGCAGCGAGGCAAAGCGAACATGAATGAGGATCCATCCTTGAACAAAAAGTGCTGCGTCCCATACTTTTTGGTTTCACATCGCCTCGGGGACCTGAGAAGCCCCTGACCAGGCCAAACACTGCCCTCGGAGGGCCCCCAAACGGACCCAAGACTGCAGAACCCCCAAGACGACCCGGAAGGTTTCCAAAACAACCTCCAGATCCGCCAAGTCGGCCCCAAAATGGAGCAAGCGAGCCTTTTCCAGAGAGACCGGGGAAAGACGGCCAAGGCCAAGGACGCCCAAGACGGCCGAGAGATCAAGACGGGGTCCCAGCAGGCCCAAAGATGCCCCAAGAAGACCCCAAAGAAGCGCCATGCCTTCACTAGGGCGTCGGGAGGACGGGGATGGGAAAGAGATGCGAGGAATGAGGAGAACGAGGCTGCGGACGAGGAGGAGACGGTCAAGACCCGCGCCAGTACACAAGAAACGCAGGCAGAGCGGGTCACAAGCTCAACCTCTGTGCTGCTGCGCTGCTGCGCTGGCACAGCAGCGGGGTTCGCCGCAGACAGCTACCAGTAAGAACGTGTGCCTGCGTACATTTGGGCATGCGCATGGCAGAGCTATGTACATCGAATGGTAGCTGCTGGAACTACGAGAGGATACGGACAAGAGACAAAATTGCGATTGCCTCCCGGCGGCATCGGAAGCACCGTGGTAACCCTGCAGGTTGGCTTCCAATGGCCTCCAGGCCTTTCCCCACTGAGAGGAACCCGCTTGTGGATCAGACCACCGCAAACACGCCGCGCGTAAACGCGATGCCCTTGAACGCGCGCGCCGCGGGGGGGAGGGCGCAAAGGGCCAAGGGACGCACGAAGGCTCCTCGTCCCCATCCCCATCCTTCTTCTCATGAGGAGAGGACTCTGACGTCGACAGTTGACGTTGACGTTGACGCCCCTCCTTGACGGCCACCCTTAACGTCCCTCCCCGACGTCTCTCCTCGCCGCTAAAGCCCCCCATTGGCGCACTGACGTCCACGCTTGACTCCCCCCCCCACCGACGCCCCCTTCTTGACGCACCCCACTTGACGCCCGCTGGAGCTGACAAGAGACGTTGACCGTTGGCGTTGACGCCTCCACCCCTCGACGCCCTCGTTTGAGGGTGCGTGTGTGTGTGTGCGTGTTTGTATGTGTGTATGTGTGTGTGCGTGTGTAAGAGTGAGCTTGTGCGTGCTCCTGCGCGTGCGCGTGCGTGTGCGTGTGCGTGTGCGCGCGCGTGTGCGTGTGCGCGTGCGTGTGCGCGTGCGCGTACGCGTGCGCGCGCGCGTGCGCGTGCGCGTGCGCGTGCGTGTGCGTGTGCGCGTGTGTGCCGCATACACCGTCCTGGGCTCCGCCAGGGAGTCGCGTGCACCGACCGCCGGCCCCGGATGGGCGTGGCGGGGATCGGGATGCGCGCTCAGCTCTCGTCGCCCGATCTCTCCGCGGGGGTGGCATCGTCCGAGGCACCCTCGGAAGTTTCGAGGCCGCTCCACCCGAGCCCCGCCTGCACACGGCGACGGAACGCTGGTTCGCCCAGAACGAGGAGGCTGCGTCCCCCTCTGGCCTGCGCACACACGGTCCATCCCGCTTCCCTCCCTTCTCCTCCTCCCTGCAACGTCCAGCACCTTTGTGCCGAAACGAATACGTCACCCTGACACCGAAAACCATGCACCGAGACCTGCCGAAACCATAAAAGTAAAATACGCGGGAGCCTACATCACCATCTTCCCTTCTCCTCCTCCTCCTCCTCATCCTCATCCTCCTCTCCCTCCTCCTCCTCCTCCACCTCCTCCTCCTCCTCCTCCTCCTCATCGCCCTCCTCTCCCTTCCCCTATCCCTCACCATGCTCATCCTTATCATACTCCTCGACATCTCGTTGTGTGACCCCCATCCAGGTCCTTCTCCTCAACGACGCTCCGCCAGCGGCGAAGTCGGGCGGGGGGGGGAGGGGGTGGCGCCGTCCTTGCTGCTTCGCCAGCTGCGCCAGCGAAGCTGGGTCCGCCTCGCGGCTGTAGCCCCAGCAGGGCAAGCAGGCACGGCCAGAGCGGCGGGGTGGCCGGAGAGGAGGAAGGAAGAAGAGGGGGAGCGGAGGGCAGGGAAGGGGAGGGGAGGGGAGGGGAGGGGAGGGGAGGGGAGGGAGGGGAGGGGAGGGGGGGGAGGGCAGGAAAGGGGAGGGAAGGTGAGGTTGGGAGGGGAGGGAGGGAGGGGAGGGCAGGGAAGAAGGGCACGGGGGAGGCGGGGAGCAGGGCACTGGTAGAGGCTGCTGCCAGAGACCCTTGCCGGGCTAAGCTCATTACCCCAAGAAAAGATGTAGCATCCGCCCACGCGGCAGATGGAAGGACGGCAGGCTGAGCTCCCCGAAATCCTACTCCGCATGCGGGCGGCGCCTGCCTCCCGATTCGAACCACGACCGTGTACTCGACTGTGGTCACCGCCAGAGGTGCAAGACGAAGGACCCGCACTCATCGAACAAACATTTTGGAGCGCGTTTTTTGAAATTTACGGTATCCGAACTTCGTGTTTGATCGTGGATTCTGCGCCAAACGCTCCGCTCCCATGTTTTAGGTGTGAAAGCGTGTGTCTGCGGACCCCGTTATGTATCAAGGATCCGCGATAAAGGAACACATGTTCCTCGAGCGGGCACGCGCGAATCGCATTTAAATCAAGAACAAACCTAATGATGTATCGCAGATAATCCCGCCGGTCCTCTTCATGTCGATTCCGGGGGAAAACAGCTGAATGAAAACCGAAAACCCTGGGCCCAAACCCTTTGCAAGAAAAAACAGAACACGGGAAAACATGGCAAAAGCTTCGAAACAGTATCTTTGTTCACCTCCTGAGGGCCTCGTGGGACTCCTTCTGAGGGCCTCTCAGCCGTCTTGAGGCCCTCTTGGGCTGTCTTGAAACCATGCTGGGCCATCTTGGAACCCTCTTGGGCGGTCTTGGGCTCTCTTGGAGCGCTTTCGGGCCATCTTGGAGCCCTCTTGGACGTCTCTTGGGCCCTCTCGTCGCCCCTGTTCACCTCCTTCGACGCGGTTTGGCGCTCCCCGACGGGTTCAAAACGGCCGTGTATAAAATAAGTGTTCCATGTTATGTTTATATGTATATATGTGTGTGTGTGCATTCATGCATGCATGCATGCATGTCTGTGTGTATGTACGCATGCATGTATGCATGTATGCATGTAGGTATGTATGCTTGTATGTATGTATGTATGTATGTATGTATGCATGTATGTATGTATGTATGTATGTATGTATGTATGTATGTATGCATGTATGCGTGTATGTATGTATGTATGTATGTATGGATGGATGGATGGATGGATGGATGGATGGATGTGTGTATGTATGTATGTATGTATCCATGTATGTATGCATGTATGCATGTATGCATGTATGCATGTATGTAGGTATGTAGGTATGTAGGTATGTATGGATGTATGGATGTATGTTTGTATGATTGTATGTTTGTATGTGTGTATCAGTGTATGTATATATGCATGTGTGTATGTATGTGTGTGTATGTATGTATGTATGTATGTATGTATGTATGTATGTATGTATGTGTGTGTGTATGTATGTATGTATGTATGTATGTATGTATGTATGTATGTATGTATGTATGTATGTACGTACGTACGTATGTATGTATGTATGTATGTATGTATGTATGTATGTGTGTGCGTATGTATGTATGTATGTGTGTTTGTAGGTAGGTAGGTAGGTAGGTACGTATGTATGTTTGTGTATGTGTGTATGTGTGTAGTTGTGTATGTGGGTATGTATGTACGCATAGGTCGGTAGGTAGGTTCGTAATAGGTATGCATGCATGACTGCTTGCATGCATGCATGCATGTATGTACTGTGTATGTATGCATACATGCATGTAGTATGTGTATGTATGTCTGTATGGATGTATGTATATATGTTGTTGTGTGAATGTATGTCTGTATGGTTACACGATGTATGGATGTATGCATGCCTATATGGATGTATGTGTGTGTGAATGTATGTGCATGTATAGGTGT